ATGAAGTTTCAGTATTCTTTCTAAGTGAATATTTTCTGTTATTTTTTTAATACACACACACTCATAGCTGCAGAAAAACCCACTGCTATAGGGCTTACAATCCAGGTATTTCTGAATGGGGTCAAGGAGCTGGACTTAATATTCCACTCATGACAACTTAACATAAAATGCTTTGACACACTGTGGTTCCTGTAAATTAACAGTTAAAAGCACATTTTCAATCTAGATTCCATAGGGACTCCAGGACATTTTTTCTTCATCTTCTCTTTCCTGGCTTGGATTCATGTGGAGTTGTAGGATGATATTCTAAACCATCACAGAGTGTACAGCACAGGGGCTGCCCATTTGGCTCCTGGTGTTAAGTGGTTTGCAGGATCATATTGGGTGCTTGCCATGTTTGGATTGCAGGCAAAATGAATTTAAACATTAAAATTCTAGATCCATATGGGGCCAATAGGCATCTTGAAGATTTCAGATCCACAAAAACACTTCTCACCTGTTGACTCCTGTTTTAAAAAAAGAAGAAAAAGGAGCACTAATGGAATACCTTGAGTATTAGGAGAAGATACTGAATGTGAGAGGGAGGGATAATGCTTGACTATGACTGTAGTTTTTAATGTGGATTAAAAGATTTTGGCAACAGCAGGAAGCTTGAGGTTTGTTTTTGTTTGTTTGTTTTTCCCTGACAGTAAATATCTGGAGTTCTCAATGGCTGGATGATAATTTAGCAGGAGTAGTCCCTTTTCTACTTCTTTTCCTCCCTTCTTACCAGCTCAGGAATTCTGAGCTGTGGTGCAGGTTCCAGGTGCCAGGAAATCGGGAGGAAGGCAATCAGATCCTGCTTTGTGCTGATAGATCAGAGACAAGATCCAGTGGAGAACTGGCTGAAGTTTAACAAATCACTTCTTGGGAACCTGAGCCAATTACCTGGAATGGGTTTAATGATTAACACTCAAGGTGAGAAATCAGGGAGCATGAATTAGCTTTGGATATTGGCTTGAAATGGTCTGAAAGAATTGCAAATTTAGCCTCCTTTGTTACAGAAGTTGAAGGAAATGCAGGTTTCTTGCATAGAACACAGACAGTGTTGATTTGAGGTTGATAATATGCCGAGACTGAGTCACAGAAATTCACAATGGAATTAATTTCAGTACAGGTAAAAACTGACCTGAATTCTGAGCTGCTACTGGAGGTTTTTTCCTACTTGAGTGCACCCAGAGATCCAAGGGAGACGATACCACAACATGATTCACAAATATCTCCTATCTGATGAATGATATCAAATATTACTGTGAAGTATCCCATTCCCAGCTGAGCAAAGTCAGTTCTTTTCACCTGGATCTTTCAAAAACTGAACATCCAAGGTTTTTACCTGGATAAGATACCCACACTCTGGATGTGGCACACTTCCCTGCTTTTGCTGTATTCCCATCATCTCTGGTCTCCAACATTTTCACAAGGACATCAGTGGATATAGCTGGAAAATAAAGCCCTTGGGCTTAACTAAAACCCTTTACTTGGCTCCAGCTGCAGTTTGAAGACTTTTTGCTGCCAGATTTAAACTTTCACCCCAGAGCTGTTGTTTTTTAAAACTTGGTGTTCCTTGCACCATAGATAAAGTTGTTGTCGTTGCTGTGTGATCTTCTGTGCTGCCTCCTTGTTTCTCCAGGCTGATAGTTTTATTTTTAAATGAAAAATAAAATATATTTCCATTCCTCTCTTGGGGTGCAGCTGCTTATAATTTGGTATGTAAAGGAGTCTGAGGAGATCAGACTTTAAAGGAAGGGAAGCTTGTTGTCAGGACAGGAGGTATAAAAGCAGAGAAAAATGTTACATTCCAAGAGGTCTTTTCATTCTTAAATTGCTCTGCCTGTGATCACCAAGTAGGTATTTTGAATTCCTAAACCAGGAATCTAGATTGATCAAATTTAATAAAATGACATTGTGATTCTTCTAAATTGCTTTTGGTTCTTCCTTGTGGAAGAAGGTAGGTTTCTACTTGCTGTATATTTTATTTTCCAAGGGTAATAAATTCTGCATGGGTATTAAGCTAAAACTGAACTTCAGTGATTTCATCCCTCTGTACCCTCCTGAGAGAAGGGCTGGAGTAGTTTTAGGAAAAGCAGATCCTGGAAGTTGGGAGCAGCAGCCATTCCACAGGAGCTCCCTAAAGGAGGTGTTCATTGTGAGGAATGTGGGGCAGACTTTGGGTTAATCCCAAAATTATTCCTAGGTTGGCATTATTCCTAGGTTGGCAGTTCCCAAACTTTTTATGAATGTGAGGCCTTTTTGTTAGTTTTGTGTTCTAAAATATCAACACAAATACCAGTGCTGCAGTTTGCATTCTCATGCTTTACTGTCCTGTTTTGTAAGGAATTTTCTGGCCAGGTGTTTCAGTTTGGGATAGAGCTTCATGGCACTTCTGTTTAAAACAAAAAGGATTTAGCCTAACAATGAGGTGAAATTAGTTTCAGTCCCCCCAGTCCTTTGAGGGAGAAAGTTTTGTGTGGACTTTGTCCTTTGGGTGTGGTAACTTCAGTCAGTGCTGAGGAATTGCTTGCTTGGGTAGAGTTTCTGCCTGTAAAACAGCCCCTTCAGTGGTTCCTCTGTTCTTCTTCACCTCAAGACAACCAGAATAAGAAAGTTTAAGTGTATTTCAAGGGAAAAAAATAAATTACATTAACCTGAAACAATTAACTCCCAGACTTTCCTAGTGGGCTCTTTTCCTGAGCAGCTCTGTTCAGTTCCATGAGAAATTCCTGCCCTTCCTCGTGCTGTGGCCGGGCCTGTGTGGCTGCCTTGGCACTGGTGCTTGAGGTCATTTCTCCAAAACCCCCTGCAGTCATTAAATAGGCATTGGAAGTGTTGGCAAATGTACAATTGCATTGTTCCCATAAGTGTGTTGGAGAGAGGATATTTCCTCAAGAGTCCTTAATCAGGTGCTGGACAATTACAGCTTTAACTCCACCAGTGTTTCTGTGGAACTTTCTGATCCTTTACACCAGAAATTCCTTCTGCTCTCTTGTTGGTTTAGAGCTTGACATCTCTATTCTATTGCTCAGGCTTGTAAATCCAGGAAGAAAGGAAAAGTAAGGAATCCTCTGAGCACAGCTAGGCCTACACATTCTGATGGTAAATTGTCACTATTAGTGCTCACAGAGTCCTTTTTATTCAATATTCTGCCAGCCCTGTTCTGTTATTTAGGGGCCTGTTGGGATCTTTTAAAAGTATGTGGAGAACAATATTTGGGTTTGTGCTTTAAGACCAATATTTTGGATTTTCTACAGCTTTTTTTGTAGAAAACTGTGCAGAAGGGGTAATGCAGTAAGTAATGGAGTAAATATTGTAGAACTCTAATACTCTGGAAGTTGTGATATAACACCCCTGCAGTTGCTGATCCTCCACCATAGCTCAGTCTTGTCTCCTTTTGGAGTATTCTGCCACAGGAGTTTATTCAGTCCTCTGGGCATCAGGGTGAAATATTCTGGTGTTGGGACATTACACAAGGTAAAGAAAATCCTGAGTTTGTGACTCTACATGAGGTAACACAGTCCTTATCCTCTTCCACAAACTGAATGTGATCCAGACAGAAGAATGAAGCACATCAGCAAGATGAAAACTGTTTAAAGTAATTTGGTTTATTGAAATAATAAGGGAAGTAACAAACAGTTGACATAATCACTGAAAAGGTGATTTTAAAAGAGTGGAAGGAGAAAAAAAAGCAGCTTGCAACAGACTAAAGGAGAGGGACAGCAGGTTGTGAGGGGGGAGAGGGCTGTGAAGGATGGAGGAGATGGGGTTAGAAAGGAACTTTGCTAAAAACCCTCCCCACAAGCACTGCCAGGGCAGCACAGAGACTTCACCTGTGTTTGCCTGCGGGGATCCATGGCAGAATTCCTGCTGCATGGCACAATTCCTGCTGCATGGCAGAATTCCTGCTGCATGGCATGTGCTTTGGCTCATTGAGCCCTTCAGAGTAATTCCATGCTGTTTCTTGCAGGCTGCCTAACGTGGCAATGGTTTCCTGTGCTTAAAACAAGTTGCCATTGCAGTAAGACTATTCTAATAATGCTATTATCTGGAAATAAAAGGAATTAAAAAACAAAATAAATAAAGGCTCTACACTTGAGGGAGAAGGGTGATGAATTTCTTAGCTGTTTGCTGGTGCAGGTTGTGTTTTAGTAAGATTTGTTAGTGCTCACAGATTTTTAGCTTTCCTGTGATTGTGGTTTTTTTCATATCTGTGTACTGAAAATCAGCAGTTTACTATGATTACTTTGCACTTTTTCCATGGTATATGTTGGAGTAAAATGACATTTCTCAGTTAGGTATTTATTTTGTTTCTTGGCTTTCTTTTGTTTAAGGTTGTGCAAGAAAAATATTTTTAACATTGGTCAGTGTTCATTTGTTTATTCTGAAAGGGTGTGTGAAATGAAAAATTGAGACAGAAGTAACCTGTGGCATAAACTACCCTGGCAAAGCTTTCCCCTGGAGAAACAGCTCTGAATTTGCTGTGCTGTCTTCTGTTGGAGCCTTCATCTGTATTTTCACTAGGTGCTTCCTAATTATTTTCATGGCCTTGAAGAGAAATGGCTGAAATCTTAGGAACAGACAGTTCAAACTGATAGATCAACTCTCTCAGGGCTGGTTCTGTGTGTGTTGTAGTCAGTCACTGTCCTGATGCCTCTTGGTAACTCAGGTGTTGGAAGGGTAAATTGTGGGTTACAAACAGCCTGAAGGCAGCTGATGCTTTGTTGTCCTGCACAGTTTTCTTACTGTGCCAGAAGCAACTGAATAACTCACACTGACACTGGAAAAATGTCTGGGTTTTTCTCTTTTTTTTTTGTTTCCCCTTCTAGATTCTAAGGTACAGATTTTTCTTCTTTTGTGGACTGCTTGGAAGGAGGAGTGCCTGACTTGGAAGCCTGCTTTAAAATGCCTTCTGGTTTATGAACTCACATCTTTTTTTCCTCCTCCCCAACTTCCCTTCTGTTTTGCAGCCATAGACCTTTTGTATGGGGGTATTTACTGCTTTATGTGTCAAGATTACATATACGACAAAGACATGGAACAAATTGCCAAAGAAGAACAACGAAAAGCTTGGAAATTACAAGGTTTGGTTTTCCTGCCTGAATTTCTTGTTTCTGTTTTTAATCATACCTGTCCCTCCCATTTGTTCAGTGGCAAAAAAAAACACTGAGGGGAAGAAAGAGCTCTTTAGAGAGAGTAGTGCAGGCAATGGGAGAGAGAAGTTCTTCCTTTCCAGGAGTCAGACTGTGCGTTTAACACATGCACCACACCTAATTGTAGCAAAAATATTTTATCTTTAATTGCAAAAAAAAATACAGAAATATCTAACATTAATCCTGCAAAAGCTTGCATATCAAAAGTTAGATCTGTATTAGGTAGAGAATGTAACAGTTTGCTCCTTTAGGCTTATTTACGTGGTACAGGCAATAAATGTGTTCCCCTCACATGAAATGCTACCCTTGTGTGTGATTTTTTTTTAACTTTTTTTTTAAATAGATCATTCCAGCTTACTTACACACCTGTGCTTTCAGGGTACACGCACAGTATCTATGTAGAAATATTTACACACAAATATATGTACACACATTTGTTTTATTCAGTTTGCTTTCCCTAATTTTTTCTTTTTTAGCCTTCACCCCAACAGTGGTTTCTCACTACCAGTGTACAATGACAGGTAAGAGGCGTGGGCTGGCGACGCCCCTCACTAACAAGCGTCCCTTTGCTGATTATCCTGCCATTCTAGACATGAATCACAGTTAAGAATGCCACTTTTATCGTGCAAATCGTTTTCCTCTTGTTTGGATATGTCCCAGTGATTGAATAATTGCAGCAGACTTGATTTCATATGCTCTATCCTTGATAGAATTCCTCCAAAACAAACCTTTTCTCTTTTTTTTTTTTGTTTTGGTTTTTGTTTTGGTTTTTTTTGTTTGGAAAGGAAATATCATTTATTCTAAACTGAGTAGTTTGTAAGCATCAGTTTTAAAAGCTTGTCATCTTCCATTTCCAGTGGCCTCTGGGGGGTATGTTTTCTTAAAGTGGGAAAGTCTGTATTTGAAGACAGATGACTTCTGTCTAGTAATGTCTCTTCTGGAATCCATGGCATCCTGTTTCAATGTGACAGCCTTAGTCAGGGCTGATATGACTTCAAACCATTCTTAACCTCATTTCCAATTTTAAAAATAGCAGCTAACATGGTATTAACGAGAGCTTTTCTGCTGGCTCAAAAGAACCAACCTTCACTTGGTTCCTAACAGATCCCAGGCTGCTTCCTGCTTGTTCCCTTTGAGGGAAGGGAGTCAGGGGAAAGGAGGATAGTGAGTCCTAGAACAAGGAAATACACCTCAAAATCTTTTAGCACAAAGCACTGGTTTTCAAAGCAAGACAAAATGGGAGTAGGTTTAAAAACCTTTCATCCAAACTAGCACCTATGCTGGAAACTCCTTCAGTCTGAGTTTGGGGCACCAAATGAATCAGCTGCAACAACAACAGATCTTGGTTATTCCACAGAAGAGAAAACCTCCCTCAGTTCCTTACTTTTAAAGATGCAGATTTAAAGAGTAATTTCTTTGTTATATTGTCCTTATCAATTGATACACTTGTGCCTTGTGGACTGAGATGCAGCCACTTTGTCCTGCCATGGACATCAGCCTGCTGTAGTTGATATTCCAGGGAATTAAAGCTACAGGATTGTTCCTCTGGTCATCTTGGACCACAGAATTCTGTAGAGAAGGTCAGAGAATCACCCAGAGGAGCTGCCAGGCAGGGATCCTCTGTACTGATTAACTGGCTATTAAATGGCACATTAAATATATATACACAAATGCTTATTTGTGTGAATATGGACATTCCATCTTCTGTCCCTGGAGAACTCATCTGCAGTGAGCAGTGAACACAGAAAATCAAAGAATAGACAACAACACTTTAAATTACTAGAGTCTGCAATGTAGACTTTTTTTCTTTAAAGTCATGGCATAGGTTCTTCTTTATGTCTTTGTATTACGAAACCACGTGTTTCCTCAAAAAATTATCTAAGGAATGAGAGAAAATAATGGAGAGCTATGTCTGTTTTTTTCCTTCTCTCTCCGTTGTTCCAATCTCTGTGCTCCCTCCCTCTTGTCATCTCAAAGGTCCCTTCTTGCTCCAAACTGCATGCCAAGAGGAGCACAAACCCCAAACTCAGTGTCTTGGTTTGTATTGCTACCACAGAGTTAATTTACCTCAGATCTTGCTGCCAACTTTAAGCACTTCAGAAGTGAATCCAGTCTGCAGAAACTGATTGGCTTAAAAACCGAAGGCTAAATGCAGAAATGTTCAAATTTCTCTCCACAGTGCTTGAAGGGTGTTAGTTTATACTTAAATAGATGTTCACATAACAACATGATGCCTGGAGAAAAAAAACTTTAAGAAAACCCCCAAATATCATGAGATTCATTTCATACTCCTGTAGTATCAACTCCCAGTGTGCTGAGTTCCCCAGTCCAGCTGGAGTTCAGGGTTATCTGATGTAACTCTGAATGGTGCAACTTGGCTAGAATTTTTTCCTTTGGTATTGAATATTAATAACAGGGGAGGTGAGAATACACAGAGCCCTTTGTTCTAATTAAGGTCTGCATTTTTGGGAGAGGAAAAATTGGAATTTGCTGAAGTTTAGCAAAGTAAACAATGACTGAAAAATTGTGACTTTTATAAACCTGAGCCTTCATTGCCTTTTCCTTCACTCATCCCTGTTCCCCTGATGAATTCTCAGAGAAATGCCAATTTGAGTATTTCACCCAATAAAATAATTTCTTAGATGAAGATTTCTTGTGCTGACTTGAATCTCTGACTATTTTATAGCAGCATTTTTAGAGTTACTTATTTTCACTTCTCTAACACTACTTTCCTTTAATTGTAAATGGTGACCTGTGCATGGTTTGCAAATCTTTGTTTACGGTAGTTTATATTGGAGTTTTTGGCATGCTTGTGAGTGTTATTAAACCTTTTTATTAAACCTCTTTCCTTCTTTGTCTTTTGGTTATTTTTTGTTGTAGTTTTTCATTTTTAAACATCAAACCATTCCTAATAAATGGCTCTGCCTTTTCCAAATTTTCAAGAGTAATATAACCTCAGCATTCCTGCTAAGTTATATAGCTGGAATGGAACATGTTTTAATTTCTGTGTCTGACTTCACTTGTGCTCCTTCTAATGAAAGGCTTCTGCAAGAATGTTTTCTGTCTGGTTTGCTCTGTTTGTGGCGTTAATTGCACATGGTGTTTTGTTTCCTTTCATTTCTTTTAAATTGAACAAATATTTCATTCACCCAGAATCCCTAAAAGTAATCCAGTCTGTCATGTTTAGCCTTACCTAGAGTTGCTCTTGTGACATGCTTTAGTCCCATCCTCTACAGTATTTAAACTATATAATTATATATAGATATATATAAATATATATCAATAGTGCTGCTGATGTATGTGGAGCTATTGCATGCCTGAAGTGCAGATGTGTTTCCAGGTATGAATTTTGTTGTATTTGACTTAAACCAGGATTTAAACCTATCCAAGGGGTTATTTTTTAATTGTTATCAGGGTTCATCACACTGACTGGCTGTGTTTGGCCATGTTTTACCTGTAGTGAACCCAAACACAGCAATTTACAGCTGCACAATGCAATTGCTGCTGCTAACAAGGTGTTACCAATAGAAATTCCTGAGGGAGCATTACAGATATGACCAGGGTTGCTGGAGACATCCAGTGCCAAAGCTGTTGGAAGCCAATGTTCCATCCCTGTGTCCATCTGTGCATCTCCAGAGGGTCTCTGAGACGTGCAGTGTGTCCAAAGCACTGCAGCTGTGTTATCTCATCAGTCTCAGTCATTCCCTGCCTTTTCTGTTTCCCTGGGTGTGTAGCTTGATGCTGAACCTGGGATAAAGGAAAGGGATTCTGGTATTGTTCCTTAAGTTCCTTGCATAATCTGTTGTTGAATCAAATAAAGTGAGAGATGGGTGTATTTGTGTAAATAAGAATTCTCTAGGCCTTGAGAATCTAAAAATGAGACCTTCTGTTAGTAGAACCTGGAGGGTCAGTAGTAACTATGAATTGAACGTTTTTGGGAGGGTAGTTTCTGACAAGCATAGCTATTTCTGAAAATGAAGATCAAAGAGCTATTAAAATTTAATGTATATTATGCAGAATGTGTAAGCCTCCAGCTATATTTTTCTACTATCCTTTTCATATGTATGATTTATAATTTATTTTCTGTAGCAAAGCGCTGCTTCTGCTCCATGCATTCTGTGAAAAATAACTCTTAATTGACTTTAATTCTCAGTTTTAGAATAGACTGCTTGCCATCTTACAATTCTTTATTTTTAATGCCAAGATGCCTTTGTGACTCACAGTAATTGCCCTTGCACAGCAATTTCTGTGCCACATAGAAAGCTGCAGCAGTATTGAGCTGGTCAGCACGTGAGTCTTCACTGTTGTGTTTTCTTGTGTCAGGTTTACACTGAACACAGCTCTGTGCTGCTTTCAAATCTGGTCTCCATGCTACTGACCTGGCTCATTTCTACTGCACTTTCCTTTGAGCAAAAGAAATCTTCTGCAAATGCAGTGTTGGTCTTCAAAAAGGATAATGACAGATTTTAGCTCATGAGAAAGGGTTTAATATTTGGAGAGTTTTGACTGGTTGGTGGAGGAAGGGTGATGTTTAAAACTACTACTAATTTCATTTTTAGATAACATTAGATATGTCAACAAGTGAATGTCAAAAATCAAAACTTGTCTAATCCATTAATAGTATAAGGAGAGGTCATTCTGTGTAATGGCATATACATGTAGTAACTGTTCAGTATATTGAATTATTAAATTCTGCTGTTCTCTAAAGATTACCTGTCCATTAAGTTGGATCAGTTTAGATTTATTAAATAACTTGGCAAGTTCATCAATGCTGGTTGTGTCATTTAACCTCCTCTGAGCACAAACAATGTATTTTTGAGTAATAGCAAGTTTATTCTTGTGCTGGAATTTCTTTTTTTTAACTGAAAGGAGGATGATAATCCAATAATGGAAAGTTTATTGGCCTAAATGTTCTTTATAAGTAAAGAAGTAGCTTTGTTTTCTTTTGTATGTTCTTCTTTGTTCAAAAATTTGATGATACCTTTTCAAACCTTATCTTTTGAGAAGGGGTAAAAAGCAGTCAGTGTCCTTACCTTGTGCATAAATTGAATCTAACCTAATGGACAGCACATTGAAAGTTTTGACTTGAACAGAATTTTCAATCCTTTTACTAAAGAACTTCCTGAAACTTTGTTTTATCTGCTTAGGCATTGGAGAGAAGTATTCAACATGGGAGCCGACCAAGAGAGAGTTAGAATTGCTACGACACAACCCCAAGCGAAGAAAAATAACCACAAACTGCACCATAGGTGAGTTCCAGAAATCCCTTCTGGAGCCAAATTGTCACTGATTTGTATGTTCAGAATTCTGTGCTGTTTTTCCATTGGTAATTGTATGGATTTCTGTAAACTTTAGAATAACAAAGTCAGTTTATTTTGCACTACATTTTCCCTGCTGTGGAAGGATCTTTGCTCTGTCACTGCAGGTACTGCTGATGATTGAGCTGTGTAACAGCTCCAAAGCACAATCCTTTTTTGACAGCATGCCTGTAATGAGAAATCACTGATATATCTCAACTCAGCCTTCATCAGACATCCCGTGCAGGGATGTGAAGGGAAATCCTGTAGTTGGTGCATCCTTAACCAAAGCTGGTAAATCTCTTTTAGCAGAAGCAGCACATTCCTGCTTCATGTTTTACACTCTAAATGGGATCTCTTCAATTTCATATGAGCTCTGAACAGTGATTTTATTTCTCCAGTGGTGTCAAATAGTAGGTTTGAAATGCATCTCAGAGGTTTAATGCTTAAGAGTTCAGTGATCTGGAGCAAAGAATTCTCTGAAATGTGTGCATCTGCATCTGGCTGGAGAGTATTTGGGTAAAGGTGATAAAAATGAGCAGTTCTTCCAATGTTTTCCCTGCTGTTTTTAGGTTGGGTAGCAGGGGGTTAAAATTAGCTCCCTGACCAGCTCTAATTAAGATTATTGGGCATTTTCCTTTGCTGTTAAATGCACAATAACATTTTAATGGTGAGGTTTGGAAAAAAATGGTTAATGGTACGTGATTGTTAATTGTACAAGGTTGGAGGTGTAGCCATAGACATTGCAAGTAGGAAACTGAATTTTTTTCCACAGTTTTAAAGCTCTGTACTGTTTCATGGAACATGTCATGCTTTCAGCACATTTGCATTTGTCAAAACACACTGAACATACTTTCTAAAGTTTTCTAATGTCATGTTTCTAATGCAGTAAGTCATTTAATCCAAAGTATGTGTATATTTATTTGGAAAAAATGGACTGAGAAGCACAGAGTAAGTTGAACATGTATATAAAATGGTCATTCTAAAGAACCTATGTTTGTGCAGTCGTGGGACAGGGAAGACAGTTGGAAAAACATCTGGACTTTGGAAACATTAAACAGCCTAGGAAAAATTAACTAAGCAAAGATTGCTTGCATCACGTTCACATTGGGGTTTGTGTTCTGAGAAACTCCAGGATATTTTGTAAAGAACATTACAAATTAGTAAAGATAATAGAGCTGGGGAGGGGGGAAGAGGTTGGACAAAATTTTGAAGGTTACCGTGACCTTTGTGAAGAACTGAAGCACATTTCAGTGTTTCTCTTTGCAATCAGAAGGAATGCTCTGCTTGCTCTTGGAGGATTTGGGATCTTTCAGGCTGTTTAAAAAGGCCCTGGCTGGTGGTGTGAAGGGGGGAGCACAGGGACAGGGCTCTGACTGATCTCCTCACTTCTGCAGGCCTGCTTTTAAGAGTTCTCCTCCTGAGCCCTGCAGCTGCCTCTGTGTGCTGAGACTTAGAAAGTAAAGAAAAAAATCAAAGCACCCAGGAGCCATAATGCAGTTTTGGGCTGCAGTTAAAAGCAGAAGACTTGCTTTCTTTACAAAAATGCATTGGGGGTTTAGCTCAAGGAAGAAAAGACCTGCCATTGTCCTTGAGCCTTTTCTCTCCACCTAACCTGCTGCTAAATATAAATTGCTTCAGAGTCTTTCTGCCTTCCCTTCCCTCACTTTGACTTGTCTGTTTGCAGTTTCAGATCAGTGAAGAGCCTGTTTGCAGACTGAAATGCTGCAATAGCTGGACAGTCTCATTTCTCTCTTTTTCTAATACTCAATTCTTTTTACATCAGGTTTTTATCAATCCCATAGCAGATATTAGTGAATCCAGTTTATCTTCTGAGGTAGGTAAATGGCTGAGAGAATAGGCATGATGTCCGGTTTTATTGGTTCTGGAAATGAAAATGGTGCTGATAACCATCTCTGATAGGCACTGCACATCTGTTGAGCACTTCTGTTTACACAAGAGTCTGTTAAAACATAACCAGCTGCCTTTTATGCATAAAATCCTCTTTTCAAAGCTGTTTTAAGAGGAAGGCCAGGGGGAGGTTTGTGGTTTTCTGTCCTACCCCAGAGATCCACAGATATCATTTGGGTGTGGAACATTTTGTTGCTCTGCCATGACCTGGAATGGTGGTTGTGCCAACATTTGTTTCAGCATTTGTGTAAGACAATTTATCAGTGTTACAGCCAAAATACATGGGACAAGAGACTGAAACCTAGGCAGGTGTGGCCTTGAAAGGATGTACAGAACTTGTATTTGAAGGATCTGCATATGATTTTGAGCCTTGACAATAAAATACATTAAATTTGATGTTTTTCCTATCTAAACCACACTTAGGTGGTACAAAATATTTGTTGCAGTTGCCTGTCACTTCTGTATTATGTGCATGACACTCATTGAGGTGGATGTTACTCCATGGCTGAACATTCTGGGTCCATGAAGGGAATTTTTTTATCCCAGATTTGTAGCAATCTCACGGTGCTTCTCAAAACAGCTGGATGTGTCTGCTGCTTTTTGAGCTGTTTGAACTTTTGTGCAACTGCAGGATCTTTTGTCTTTGATCAGCACCATGAATTAAAACTGAAGAATACTCAGACATGAGATGAATATCTTATAATGGAGACTTGAACTGGGAGTTCACTAGAGGAAATAATGTGCAAAACTCACAACTTTTGATTTTTCTACTTGAGTGACAATTTGAAACCCATTGAAGAAGGAATTTATTTACATCCTCAAAAAAATGAGGAAAAAAGCTTTACAGAAATCCATAATTTTTCCTTCATTCTCTTTAAAATGCTGTGTTTCCATCTCATAGCTACTTTTTCCATCTAGTAAGAAGATAGTGCAGGTAACTTGACTTGAATCTCTATTTTGCCACTGAGCAAATTGCTCTTGAAATGAGAACTCACACTGGGCACCTCTGCAGGCTGTGGAAACTGTGCTGATTCCTGTCTTTTGGGATGTGCAGGGTTGTTCCCAATATTGCACATAAGGACCTTCAAAGTGACTTGGAACACACTGCTAACCAAGTGGAAACACTGACTTGTCCTACAGGCAAAAAGCCATGATGAGAAATCCTGGCAGTGTGGATTTTGTGTGGGACATTGCATGTTCTGCTGTCCTGACTTGACATTTTGATGGAGCTTCTGTATTCCAGGAGGTTCAGGAGGAATGTCACGCTCACTCAGGCCATAAACTGCTCTGTGGAAGCTCTGTCAGCTCAAGACATTCTCACACCTTGTTCTGCCTCCAACACTTGAATGTTGATTTTTTTCATTGTGTTGCCACAGCTTTTTCCACAGATCACACTGAAGGGTTGGCATATTGTGGGGAACATAGAAATTTCCCAAGTTATTTTATTTTGCTCTTAGCAGCACGCCTGGGTAGTGTCCTGGACTATTCAATATTCATAGAAATGCTCATCTTGATTTTGGCTTGAAACTGATGTTTCAAGCATCCCATAAACACAAAAACTTCTACATGGAAAAATCAGGTATGACTTAACAGCTATTAAATTAGATTCTTACATTGTAAGAGAAAAAAAAAATCTAATTTATTCAGTCTCCTCTTGTCTGTAAAGTGGCCTCCCTCTGCAGGGGAGGGAAGGGACAAAGCTCCACATTCACAAGCAAATTATTTGTTAGGGGGTTGAACCAGAAGTGATACAATATCTTTTGGGAACTATTTTCCAAGCTCATCTTGCTCTGCTGTCATTAATACCCCCAGCAGATCCATTCTCCTGAGTATATGAAATATTAGCTTGGGATCAGCTGCTCTCTGATTAGCATGTGAAGTGACTTTGTGGCTAAAGATGGGTGTATTAACAATGGGCACAATTAGACTCCCAATGCACATGGGTAATTAGCAGCAGCCACCCGGGATTCCCGTTTGCAGGGCTGCCAAAAGGCAGAGGGGAGACTGAGCAAATCCTCCCACAGGAGTGATGGCACGGAGAGGTGGCAAAACCAAAACTGCCTGGCATCAGAGGTGGCTTTGGCAGCTGCAGTGCTGATGGGCCAAAGAGCAGCATAAATGGAATAAATATTGCAGAGCTCCCGTGTAAAGGTGGCAAGGGAAGAGAAACAGTGACCTGGAAAATATTTCTGTTCTCTGGGCAAGCCAGCTGAAGCATTTTTGCTTCTCTAACTTGGATGTGTTGAAGGCTGCATTAGTACTTGGATGTTTTTTGTGAATGCAGCAGTGCTCAGGTGTGCTTTTTCTCCTTGGATGGCACTTAAGGTAGCTCAAGTGGAAAAGTGGAATGAAAAATATGGTTTGGTACAGCACCACATTTTTAGCTATGGCTTTAAATTTAAATTACTGATTTGTAAGCAGTAATACTTTGATATTTGAAGTTATGACTGCACAAAGTGCATCCTGAATAGAAATCTCTGATTCTTAAATTCCTTTAGATTGCTGTATGATGAAGGAAAGAAAACCACCTTTAAGACTACTCAGGTGAATGTTTCCTCTTTGGCTTTCTTTATATTAACTTCATTATTAAAATGGCTTTCTTGATGAAAAATTGTTTCTTAAAAGGTTGGATTGGTAAAATAATAATAAAAAAAAGATACCTTCATATCAATAGGGAGAGCATTCTGTTCCTGTTTTACTTTGTCTCGAGCTTAGCATGTCTGACCATTGTGTAATACATTTCTTAGGTCTAAAATTGATAAAGCTGATCTTAAAAATAAATTTTAAAAGCCCTCTTCTCTTAAAGCTCCCAAGAAAAATTAGAAGGATGTGAATATTTTAAGAATTCTAAAACACAAGTAGTGATTTGCTCTCTGAAGTTTGTAGAGCGGTACTGTCTGAAAATCTTGTTAAACTTCCTAAATTTAGCTCTTTATCAATACAAAATAGAAGCTTTCCTCTGCAAAAGGCTTTGTGAGGAGAAGTTCCAGAGTGGATGCTGCAGTTGCCTTTTTGTGTATTGACTGTCTGGGCACTTGTCA